CACAGGAGACAAGGGGCCAGCAGCCAGGATGCATTTCTTTTTCTTTTTCTTTTCTTTTCTTTTCTTTTCTTTCTTTCCTTCCTTCCTTCCTTCCTTTCTACATTTTATTTGAGAGAGAGTGAGCGAGTGACAGAGCACAAACAGGGGGAGCAGCAGGAAGAGGGAGAGGGAGAGCAGACTCCCCGAGGAACAGGGAGCCCAATGCAGGGCTCGATCCCAGGACCCTGGGATTATGACCTGAGCTGAAGGCAGATGCTTAACTGACTGAGCCACCCAGGTGTCTGGCATTTCGTTTTCTTTGGAACAATTTTAAATGGTGTTGTGTTTTAAATTTTAGTTTTCACTTTTTTGTTGTTAGCATATAGCAGTGTGATTGCTTTTTGTGTGTTGATCTTGTAACTTGTGATCTGGCTGAACTCACTTATGAAGTCTGGGAATTTTTTTTAGATTCCTTGAGATCTTATATAGACAATCATGTCATCCACCAATAGGGACAGTTCTAGTTCTTCCTTCTACTCTCTCTGCCTTTGTCTCTTTTGTGTTATTACACTGTCTGGAACTTCTGCCACTGGGTTAAATAAGAGTGGCAAGAGCAGACAATCTTGCCTTGTTCCTGACCTCGGGGGAAAGCAATCTCTCACCAGTAAGTATGATTTAAAAAAAAAAAATAGGCCTTGGGTTTTTTTTAGTTTTTATTTAAATTCCAGTTAGTTACATACAGTGTAATGTTAGTTTCAGATGAACAATATAGTGATTCAACACTTCCGTACAGCACCCGGTGTTCACCAGGACAAGTGCCCGCCTGACTCCCCATCCCCCTGCCCACCTCCCCTCCAGTCACCATCAATGTGTTCTCAAGAATTGAGTCTGTTTCTTGGTTTGCCTCTCTCTCACCTTCCCCCCCACCTTTGTTTTGTTTCTTATATTCCATGTATGAGTGAGATCATATGGTATTTGTCTTTCTCTGACTGACTTATTTCGCTTAGCATAATACTCTGTAGCTCCATCCATGTCATTGCAAATGGCAAGATTTTGGGGTTTTTTTTTTTTTGTGGCTGAGTAATATTCCATTGCATTCACAGCAAAATTTGAGTGGAAAATACAGAGATTTCCCATGTACCCCCGCCCCCATTTGTTTGTAGCCTTCCCCATTATAGACGTAAATATGATTTTAGCTGCAGTGTTTTGTAGATGCTTTTTATCAAGTTGAGGAAGTTCCCTTCTATTGCTAGTTTGCTGAGAATTTTTATCACGAGTGAGTGCTGGATTTTGTCCAGTTTTTAGAACATTTCTATCACATACTTGTTTGTAGTTAGTCCTTGCTCCCTTGCTCAGCCCTAGGCAACCATAGATCTGCTGTCTCTATAGATTTACCTTTTCTGAATATTTTATAGAAATACAGAAATAGAATATAGTCTTTTATGTTTGGTGTAATGCTTTGGAAGTTCGTTTATGGTAGCACGTGTCAATTGTTGTTCCTTTCTATTGTACCGCATTTTCTTTATCTTTTCACCAGTTGATAGACATTTAGTAACTTCCGATTTTTGACTCTTATGAATAATACTGCTATGAACATTCATGTACAAGTGTTTGTGTGGACATATATTTTAGTTTTTCTTGGGGGTTACCTGGGAGTGAAATTGTTGGGTCATATGGTGAGTATACGGTTAACTTTGTGAGAAACTGCCACACTGTTTACCAAGAGTGAGTGTGCCGTTCTGCATTCCACCCAGCAATATGTGAAGTCCTACTTTTCCATATTCTTGTGAACACTTGGTATTGTTAGTACTTTGAGTTATAGCCGTTTTAGTGAGTGTGTAATGGTATCTCATTGTGGTTTTAATTTCCATTACCCTCATGTTGAACATCTTTTCATGTCATTCATATATTTTTTGGATAAATGTCTGTTTACATCTTTTGCCTAAATTATGTTTTTGTTATTGAAACAAAGTTGACACACAATGTTACATAAGTTTCTGGTGTACAACTTTTGCCTATTTTTTTCCCAACCAACATCATCTTTTTTTTAAATTTAAATTCAGTGTAGTTAACATATAGTATATTATTAGTTTCAGAGGTAGAGTTCAGTGATTCATCAGTTGTAATAACACCCAGTGCTCATTACATCATGTGCCCTCCTTAATGCCCATGACCCAGTTACCCCATCCCCCCACCCCTTACCCCTCCAGCAACCCTCAGTTTGTTTCCTATGGTTAAGAGTCTCTTGGGGCACCCAGCTGGTTCAGTCAGTTAAGTGTCTGCCTTTGGCTCAGGTCATGATTCCAGGGATCTGGGATCAAGTCCCACATTGGGCTTCTTGCTCAATGGGGAACCTGCTTCTCCCTTTGTCTCTGCTCCTCCTCTCTGCTTGTGCTCTCTCTTCTCTCACACGCGCTCTCTCTCTCTCAAAATAAATAAATAAAATCTTTTTAAAAAAAGGAAATAATTTATTTTAGTCTATCACTTGTCTTTGTACTTTCTTGATGGTATCTTTTGAGGAGTAAAAGTTTTAAATGTTGATGAAGTTCAATTTATTATTTTTTAATGGATTATGATTTTGTTATGATATCTAAGAAATATTTGCCTAACCCAAGGCCACAGAGGTTTTTTCCTAGAGATTTTACATTTAGGTCTGTGATTCATTTTGAGTTATTATTATTATTTTGCATATGAATATCTATCTATTTGTTTTAGCATCAATTTGTTAAAGAGACTATACTTTTCCATTGAATTGCCTTGGCACTTCTGTTAAAATCAATTGCCATAAGTGTTAATGTTTCATTGATCTATATGTCTGTCCTTATACTAATACCACACTGGTTTGATATCTATAGCTTTATAATAGGTTTTTGTTTTTTGTTTTTGAAATTAGGCGGTGTTAGTTCTCATCAACCTTGGTTTTCTTTTTCAGACTTTTTTTTTGCATTTCCTTATGCATTTTAAAATTAGATTATCTGTTTGTACAAACAAGCCTGCTGAAATTTTGACAGGGATTTGATAGACATTGAATCTGTAGGTCAGTTTGGGGAGATTATCATCTTACCTATATTAGTCTTCCAGTCCATGAACATGGTATGTCTTTCCATTGATTGACATCTTCTGTACTTTTTCCAAGCAACGCTTTGTAGTTTTTACTATACAGGACTTAAAAACTACTTTTCTTAAGTTTTTTCTTTTTCTTATTTTTGATATTATTGTGAATGGAATTACTTTTGTTGAGTTTTTCTTGATATTATTGTACTATACGTGCATTCCTTTGTCAGGGCATATCTGCCTGAAGCCACCAAATATGACTGCAGTGAAGACCATCCTGTCTGGTCATTCTCAGCAGTTTTTGTGTGATCTTGTCAAAGAACCATCATAAACAGACTAATTGGAATACAGACTGCTTCAACTGTGAGGAAGGCTAGAGTTTGGAAAGGAAGTGTTTGATGTAGGTTTGCACATGTCCCCCTGACTTGAGTGGGTTCGGCTACAGACCCCTGAAGAACAGAACTAGGAATCCAGACTACTATTAGGATGAAACCAGAGTTTGTAATCACCTAAGGCAGTATTAGCATGTGTCATAGGTTCAGTGACCATCTTTTCTCCTAAAACGAGTGTGAATATATGTCTGAATGTGTATGGAACTCTGCATACCAAATACATCATCCCCGGTAGATGTGAATGGGCCACCCTAGGTCAAGTTTGATTTGTGGCCCATTGCTTCCTTTTCTTCCCCCTCTAACTGTCCTGCACTCACCTCTCTAAAAGAAAAACCTAAAACATCTAGAATACTTTAACTTTTTTTTTAAGATTTTTTTAAAATTTATTTTTATTTTGACAGAGACATAGCGAGAGAGGGAACACAAGCAAGGGGAGTGGGAGAGGGAGAAGCAGGCTTTCCATGGACCAGGGAGCCCGATGCGGGGCTCGATCCCAGGACCCTGAGATCATGACCTGAGCTGAAGGCAGAAGCTTAACAATTGAGCCACCCAGGCGCCCCTAGAATACTTTAACTTTTTAAAAAAGATTTATTTATTTGAGAGAGAGTGCGTGTGCATGCAAATGGGGAGAGGGGCAGAGGGAGAGGGAAGCAGACCCCCAGCTGAGCATGGAGCCTGACACAAGGCTCGATCCGACCACCCTGAGATCACAACCTGAGCCAAAATCAAGAGTCAGATGCTCAACCGACTGAGCCACCAGGTTTCTATATTTCTTAAGTTTATCTCTTTTAAGTAAGGAAATGCTCTCACCTTTTGAGGGAACTTCAGGTAACAACAATAGTGCAACCAGTGGTGGAGGTTGGGGGAGGTCAGAAAGCCCCATACTACCCAAGAGCCACCTGAAACGAGCCTTTAGGCTTGTTTGTGTGGTCTAAGGGACTATCAGGAGGACAATTCACTGTTAAGAGCCCTGGCTGAGATTTTCCAGCGGTATTCTTCAGAATCCCCACTGACCTCCGTCCCTTTCTTTCTGTCACACTGGCACTCAGCTCGCCATGTGCGGCATGCCTGGGAGGCCCTCCTTCCCACTTCTCTCTGTCTCTGCCCCATCTGTCCTAGCCAGGCTTAGCTGTGTCATCTGGTGTCTTTCCAGTGGAGGGAGCCATCTGGGGCGGGGGCGGGGGCGGGGGTCAGGCTCTTCTACTAGAAATGGTGCTCTGTGGACTGCTGGGTTCAGTTGTTACTTTGTTTAGGTTCCCCATCAGTGTTGATTCTGGGAATAGCCACTTGGGACCTGAGGTACCTTCATTTTGAATTCAAGATGAATTCAAATCTTTGGCAATACTTGTGCTCTAATACAGCAGCATGTTCTTTTTTGAGAGTGTTATTTTTCCTCTGAAGTTTTTAAGTTAGAGATTATGGCTGTCTAAGGACCGGTTTTCATTTGCCAACTGTTTTCTGTAATTATTTGTGCTTTTTTTTTTTTTTTTTAAATCTTTGAATGAGAAACACAATAGAGGTATTTCAAGGTTGAATGCTATTCATTTTGCTGATTTTATTCTGTTTTGATTTTAGGAGAAACTCGCTCTTCGACAGCAGCTGAATGAAGCAAAGCAGCAACTCCTGCAGCAGGCAGAATACTGTACGGAAATGGGAGCAGCGGCCTGCACCCTTTTGTGGGGCGTCTCCAGCAGTGAGGACGTCGTCAAAGCCATTCTGGGAGGAGTAAGCATGACCACTGGGCTCCCTGGGTATTGTCCATCGGTGTTGATGGAACCCGGAGGGTACAGTGTGTACTAAGGAGCGTACAGATGAAGTCCACATCTTGTGTTCATTCATCCAGTAGTTCCGGCCCAGCAGTGTGTAGGGCCTGGTGTAAGCCGGTGCTCTAGGGGTGCGGAATGAGTCTGTGTGGTGTTTGTGGGGTAGTACCACTTCAGTTCCTTGACATCTACACACATTTAACAGAGTTTAAGTGCTTCTCTGTAGGTTATCCCATGAGTAACGCAATATTTGATTTGTTGAAAGTTGCATGTTATTTATGTATTTATGTACTTTAGTAGTACACACACACACTCCCACACACTCAGAAAACTTCCCAGAGGAAGAGAGGTTTGACATGGGCTTTGATGAACTCGAGTAGGTGGCAAGGGCAGACAATGGGGAGGGGAGAGGAATGGCATCATCAGAGGCATGGGCTGAGAAGCCTGAAGTTAGTGTTGGGGGCCATGCGTGGGTCAGTGGACACAGAGTAGAGGGTCAGTGCGGTAAAGTCATGGGGAGATAACCCTGCGGAGGTAGGATGCAATGTGATTTTGGGAGGCCTCAGAAGCCAGGTTGCTGATTTTACCCAGTAGGGTGGTAAGACTGGATTCCTGAGGGTTTTGAGTAAAAGAATGGTGGGGCGAGAGACTTCGGGAAGATTGTCCTGACTGTGAATGAGGGTGGATAGGAGCAGGGTGGGTGTGGGAACGAGACAGGAAGACTAACTGGCAGGCCCTTCTGGTGGCTCAGGGCTCAAGCAGCGCCCTGCTGTGAGGGGCAGGGAAGGCAGGTGTGGTGCCAGGGGCCTGTGGCTGCACTCTAGGAGGAGGGTGTGCTTGTGAATGGGAGTACAGATACGGGGGAGGTTCGACAGGAGGCCAGCAATCCATTACTTATGACTTGGAGAAACAAAAATTGTGTGTGACTTTAGTGGAGATTAATTGTATTTTAACATTTATTGAGCTTTATTTACATGTAATTTACACATAAAATTTACCCATTTGTGAGTGTACAATTTTAGTGGTTTTAGCTCATTTCCAGAGTTGTGTAATCATCCCCACAACCCAGGCTCAGAACATTCTATCAGCCCGTGAAGTTGCCTTGTGCCGTTGGTAAATGTGTCGGCTTTGAAGCTATCCCTTAGAACCCTAGCACCCCGGGAAGCGTTTCAAAAGTTCTGTGTGCTTGGAGGGACTTCTGCTGAGTAATGAAGATTTAAAGTGCCCAGCAAGCCTGCTCAATGCCTTCGTCTCTTGACATGTTGAGGTTTCTGTTAAGATTTTGTTTGAAACTCCATTCTCCAATGGTTGAAACCTGTGGCTTCATGCCTGGAACCAACAGAGAACGTATTTTTCTAGCATATTCCTAGTGGATTTTGGATGAACCCATCCTCATACTGCCACCACTGTAAACTCATGCTGTTCCCTCACATATATTTTATTTTGCTTCTTCCATCAGTCTGCAGGGTAATTTTTCTACAGATTCCAGATCTCCTTTTTCTGTTCTTTTCCATATGGGAACTTGGAATGAAGGAGCAGACTTTTGAATACTGCTTCTGTCATTAACACCGACTCTTCCTTTTGTGCCTTTGTACTCTTGTAATGTTTTGTACCAGTGTTTGTGCAGGGCTGTGATACTTTCCTTTCTAAACTTTCAGGATAAAGCTTTGAAGTTTTTCAACATCACTGGTCAAACAATGGAGAGTTTTGTGAAGTCACTGGATGGGGATGTCAAGGAGCTTGATTCCGATGAAAATCAGTTTGTGTTTGCTTTGGCTGGGATCGTAACAAGTAAGTCATTCTTTTGAGACGCAGTGACTGTTAGCCATGTCTCTGGAGTGGTGATTACAGCCAGGGGTGTGTATGCAGCAACGTCTCCTGGAACTTTTTCAATGTCCTGTGGTTCTTACCCTAGAGAACCTGATCTGGTGGGCCTGGGATAGGTACCAGGTGTGGGTGTTGTGGGGCACCGCCCCCCCCCCAGGCGAATCTGATAAACGTTGGTCAGTAAGAAGACTGATCTAGGAAACAGGATGGGTTTGCATGTTCTGTTCAGTTCTGTGCGTGGAAGGAAGTCAAAACAAAACTAAGTTTAGCTACTTGTTATTAGGAATCATTTTACGAACATCTAGCTGAAGTAGAAGCCTTAAGCATAAGCGAAGCTCTTGCTATTGTTTTGGTACAATAATTAAATAATTCCAAAACCCTAAATTGTCTCCCAAAGATTACAGTTTTTCTAGGATAGAATTCTATGGCAAAACTGCTGTAACGAATAAGGCAAGTAGCTAGATAATTAATAAATCCTATCTTAGTATAGTGGGAGGTGGTAGTTACTAGTATTATTGTTCTGATGTCAGTGAAATAGTTAGATCTGTTGCCATGACTGTTAGATTTACTCTTTATATATTTGCTCTTTCCCATTGCTCTTTCCTTTCTGCTCTGTCCTATGCCACTCTTAGGGTAATTCTCTGCTATTAAAGAGAGAGAAAATCTTATTTTTCCTCATGGCATTATCCTTCATTTACTGAAATCCTAATAAGGTAGAACCTGTGTAGACATTTTCTTCATAATCCCTTAAAAATTGATGATACTTCTTTGAGGTGGATATTGAGACTGTGACAGTGTCTGGGCCAGTCCTGGTTTAGCCTGGCCCTTTTCCAGGATCGCATGGCACGCTTCCGACAGGGCGCCTTCAGGTGGAGGGGGCTTGCATTGCTCCACTTTTTAAATTGTTTTAAGGTCTTTTTTTAAACAGAAGGCATGCAAAGTGAGGTAAGTCAGAGAAAGAAAATACTGTATGATCTCACTCATATGTGGAATTTAAGAAACAAAACAAACAAGAAAAGGGGAAAAAGAGAGAGAGAGAGAGAAACCAAGGAACAGACTCTTAACTCTAGACAACACACTACACTGGTGGTCACCAGAGGGGGAGGTGGGCCGGGGGATAGAGGAAATAGGGGGTGGGGAGTGAGGAGTGCACTTGTCCTGATGAGCACCGGGTGATGTATGGAAGTCCAATCACTACATTGCACACCTGAAACTAATATTACACTGTATGTTAGCTACCTGGAATTGAAATAAAAACTTACAAAAAATTAAAATTTACATACAGTAAACTCACCCATGTCATGGATGTAAGAGCTCCCGAGACTTGATAGCAGATCACCCTTGTGTCCATGACCATCACTTCTCCATTCTTCTACTTGTCCCTGTCCTCCCACATACTCGCACTACCGCAGGCAAGCAATGTGGGAAAGAGATGGGCTGGGAGTTGAGGCCCAGTGGCCAGTTCAGCTTCTGCCTCTGACCAGCCCTGTGTTCTTGTGTCCGTGACCCTTGGTTTCATCTCCTGAGGAGTGTCTCAGACCCCACGTGGTGACTGAGGTCTGTGCTAACCCTAGGCTTGAGTGGTTGTGCCTGTGGAAGGGGAAGGTGCCAGTTCTGTCCCTTGACCTGTGTGTGGTCTTCTGTCTGCTAGTCCGAGTATGCAGGGAAGAGTCCATGATAGCACTTGGGTGGTTTCCACTCTTTGGCTATTACAGGTCTTGCTGCTGTGAACATTCATGTAGAAGTTTCTGTGTGAATGCATGTTTTTGGTTCTCTTGGGCATACACCTAGGAGTGGAATTGCTGAGTCATAGGATAGTTCTGTGCTTCACTTTCTAAGAAACTGCCAGACCATTTTCCCCAGCAGCTGTGCCATTTTACACTCTGATGGCTACTTTTTCCTGTGTCTTCAGGACAGTCCATCTTTTTCTGTGTGTGTGTGTGGGTATGTATCTTTGGTGTTGTTGGAGGTGGTTGAGCTCTAGGAGAGATCATCAGGGACTGCCTAGATCCTCACCACTGTTGTTGGATGTCCTTAAAGGCGAGGTTGGCTTGTAAAGAGCTGATCTCCAGTTTGAGCACCGATCACCATCATTTTGTCCTGGTTCTGTGTCTGAATCATTTATTGAATTTACTGTCAGGACAGTAGCCAAACAGAAGCATTTAAGACTCAGGCAACAGATAATGGAGCCGTGTAACTGGATGCACTAGAAGAAGAAAGACACTCTCAAACCATGACCCAGGTGACTTCATAAGCAGCCCAGAATTGCTCCTTTTCCCTAGTGAGGTAAGACCGAGCAACAAGCAGCACTAAGGCAGGCTCTGGGCAGGAGTGTCCTTCCTAAATTCTCTTCTGGCATGGACACTTCTTGAACTACAGAGATAACTAGGAGGCTCTCTGTCATCAGACAAGTGTAATAAGGGGCTGGGTTGAGGGTGTTCCGTTGACATACTAACTTATGAAAAGGAGGAAGGAGCACTGTTTCATGATTAGTTAACTGACTAGAAGAAAAGTGCTGGTATTTCTAGTTAGTGTTTGGGATGATACTGCGTGTGATGCCATAAGGCTAAAAGGTGATCCTAGTTCAGGCCTGAAGACTGTTGGATTTGGCTGAGTGGCAGTTGCTCTGAGATAAGTAGGCAGTAAGCCTTGCCCCCTGGGTCAAGGGACAGGCTCTGAGAGGAGGTGGGTCTTTGATGCATGCCTTGTTGTTGAGGTAACATTCCTAGAGCATCACTTTTCAATCTCAGCACTAGAATTTTCTGTTGTGGGAGCCTTCCTTTGTGTTGTAGGAGGTTAGCAGCATGCCTAGACTCTACCCATTAGAGAGGCCTGTAGTAGCCCCCGAAGTGTGACAATCAAAAATGTCTCCAGATATTGCCGAGTATCTCCTAGGCGCAAAATCACCTTTCTCTGCCACTTTGAGAACCACTGCCCTAGATCATGACCTTAACCTTTCATGTACATAGACAGATTTACGATACTCTGGGATATGAGAGGTAATTGTTGAAAGATATTTCAGGATCATTGAAGGCATTTTTTGTTTCTGTGTTCCATGGGCATGGTTCTGACATACTTGATTTAGTTCAGTCACACAGATGTCTTGCTAATTCAGGAGAATTTGGTATGTATTATCTACAATATCTAGTTAGTCATAGAAATTTTCTTAATTGTTTTTTAGTGATTAGTCTTGGATAATTTTGGATATTTTGTAATCTTTCCTTAGATAATAGCTTTCCTTCAGTTGACGGAGTATGGCCTAGATAAAGAAATGCTGTTTTGTGGAATTGGAGCGTTTCCTTAGATGCTCATGTCCCTTTTCATCTTGCTCAGTGAGGAAATAATTATAGTCAACCTTGGAGTTTTCCAGATTAATGGAACATAAGAGGCAGTTAATGTACATGTTGGATCAGGGGGATCCCCAACAAAGACTTCACCCAAGTATCCTTAAGATCTGGGATTAAAATTTGAGAGAAGTGTGGAACTTCAGTGAATCCCTGGGGATATAACTTTCTAGGTGAATTGTTGGTTTTTCTAGGTGAAGGCAAGTAAATTGGCCAACTTTATAGAATGGGACACTAAAGAAACCTGAGCATTAATCTGTTCCTGCAAAGAATTTGGCTTCATCTAAAAAAAAAAGGATGCCTGTGTGGCTCAGTTTGTTAAACGTCTGGCTTCAGCTCAGGTCATGATCTCAGGGTTCTGGTATCGAGTCCCACATCAGGCTCCTTACTCAGCAGCAAGCCTGCTTCTCCCTCTGCCTGCCGCTCCCCCTGCTTGTGCTCACTTGCTTTCTCTCTCTCTCTGGCAAACAAATAAATAAAATCTTAAAAAAAAAAAAAGAATTTGGCTTCAGAAGGGACAAAGAGAGGGTGGGTGGCATATGGTTGGGCAGTACAGCAAAATGGGGTATAATTGTTTTGTTACTTGTTCACAGATCTTGGATGAAGCCATATCCTTGACCATTAGGCTTTTTTTTTTATTTATTTTTTAAAGATTTTATTTATTTATTTGACAGAGAGAGACATAGCGAGATAGGGAACACAAGCAGGGGGAGGGGGAGAAGGAGAAGCAGGCTTCCCGCCGAGCAGGGAGCCCGATGTGGGGCTCGATCCCAGGACCCTGGGATCATGACCTGAGCTGAAGGCAGACGCTTAACG